TGAATACGTGGGCCGAAGGGCTGATACCGGGGAGCGGGTGATGGGCATAGACATGGGCCGTACGTTTGCCACATCACTGAACGCTAACATTCATAGCATGACTACAGTTCCCGAGCACTGGTCTATGGCTGAAGCCGCGACAATACTCAGCACTTATGGCACACTGTATTACGCGCTCATCAAAAGGGCTAATTTGAAGCGAGGTCAATATTGAAATAAAAGCACCAAACGAGTAGTTTATTTATAAATTATTTGCTTTTCATTATTAGGTGAGAGTATATTAATACATTCGGCGGCGGGTGGTGTGGGACAGTCGTGTATAAACATGTGTCAACACTACGGGTGCGATATCTACGTGACGGTCGGGACGGACGATAAAAAGCAGTTCCTTATGAAGGAGTATAACATACCGGAGAACCGGATATTCAACTCAAGAGATGTACTCTTCAAGAATCAGATCAAAGAGGCGACAAAAGGGCGCGGAGTAGACATTGTGCTGAACTCCTTGGCCGGTGAGAAACTGGATGCTAGTTATGAATGTGTGGCAAACAGTGGGCGGTTTGTGGAGCTCGGGCGGTACGACATGCTTCAGAACAAAAAGCTGGGAATGTTTGACTTCGTGAGGAATATACAGTTCATCGGTATTGTCTTTGATATCGTCGCTATGGATGACATGGACTTCTTCGCCGAGTTCTACGACTGGGTCCACAAGAACTCCAAGAATGGTTGCGTTAAACCCATTACTTACACCACGTTTAATGTCAATGAATACGATAAGGCTTTCCGGTATATGACAACCGGCAAACACATGGGGAAAGTGATCATCAAATTGAGAGACGAAGAAAATACTCGCAAACCTCTTAAGATGATTAAGTCGGCGCCTAATATCACGACAACTGTTAAGACATTTTTCGATCCAAACAAAGTCTATATAATCACCGGTGGTTTGGGTGGCTTTGGTATGGAACTGGTGCCCTGGATGCTGTATTATGGTGCAAGGAAGTTTGTGGTAACCTCCAGGTCTGGGGTTAAAACAGATTATCAGAAATGGGTGTATAACCGGGCTAAATCATTTTACGAAGGCTTCAAGTATTTTAAGTGCGATTATGTCGTGTCGACCGCCAATGGGTTTACTATTGAAGGCACACAACAACTCCTAAAAGAGGCTCAAGAGTTGGGACCCATTGGAGGGGTATTTCATTTGGCGCTTGAATTGAATCTGACAAACTATCTCTTCAATTGCAAACTATTCAAAACAAGCAGATAACTATGGTTTGTATTCTATAAGTGCTTAATGGATCAATTGACCAGAAAATTTAGCTATAATTTAGACTATTTTGTCGTATTTTCATCGATCACTTGTGGTAAGGGAAATGGAGGTCAGTCTAACTACTCGTTCGGTAACTCCATGTGTGAACGTATTTGTGAACAACGCCGGAGGGATGGCTTACACGGACTGGCCATACAGTACGGACCCATCGGTGATGTGGGAGTGTTTGCAGAGACGGATCAGTTGTTGACAATGACATCGATTAGGAAACAGCGAATCAACTCGTGTTGCGATGTTTTGGACAAACTCTTACAAAGTACTAAACCTGTCGTTACCTCACATGTAAGCCAACGATAAATGATTATAGTTTTTAAAATAAATACCATTTTAATTAACATCATAATGTGCCTAGATCAAAGTGGACCAGGTCAAAGAGGGCGGTAGCCGTAAAAAGCGAATGGTAGCCGAACTGTGGCGGGCGCTGGGCATCGACCCCGAGACCACCCCCAACCACCTAACCCTGGGTGAGATCGGGTTGGAGTCCATGTTCGCCGTTGAGCTGCAACAGGAACTGGAGAGGGAGTGGAATATGAAGGTGTCTATCAATCAGGTCAAGTCGATTACGGTGGGTATGCTGAAGGACTACGAGGCCGGCAATGTGGGTGAACTCAAAAAGCACGTCGAGGATATTAAGCGAGCTAGGGCGTACTTGTTGAAACAAAAGTTCATTATACCCAACGAAGTCCACGTGCGCCTGAATAACGTGACTCAGGGACGGCCCGTGTATTTCCTGCCGACAGTGATACTCAACTTTTCGCTGTTCGAGGAGTTGGCCCTCAAACTGAACCGCCCGGCCATTGGCCTACACTGGACTCGGGACGTGAGCAAACTGACCTCGCTCAAAGACATGAGCAACTACTACGTGAGGCTACTGAAAGAGCTGGAGCCTAACGGCAAGTACGATGTGGTCGGCTATTTCGATACGACCATCACGTGCTCGAAGCTACTGCTGAAGGGTATGGCCGGTAAGGCGGTGGTGATCGACGTGATCAGCGATCACCGGTTCTGTGAGGACGAGCTCACCGACGAGTTTATGGTGGAGTTTATGCTGACTATACTGTCCGGTGAGATACCCGACTCCTTCAAGGAACGGGTGGCCCGGGAGATTAAAAAGGAGAAGACTATGAAGGCTAAGATACGGCTTATTTGCAATGAGGTGACCGACTTCGCCGGTAAGGGACTGGTAGCTCCCGATATGGAGGAGATATTCAACATAATGATAGCCCGGATTCGTATGCTATCGGAGTATAGACTCAACAAAAAGAAGAAGTTTGCGAATAAACTAAAGCTCGCGATCGGAAAGAAATGGGCGAAAAAGTCGGGCAAATTGATCTTGATCAAACCCATTAAATTAGATGATATCGACAATTTGGAAGAGTTTATGGATAGATCTCGCGATATCTATTTACTACCAGGATCAAAGGTATTAAATTTCACACTATTGTTTATTATACTGTACTGTGTATGATTATTTATGAGTATTATCCTTTTAATATATGATCAGGATAAGTGCGATAATATCCAGATGGAAATGATCGAGAATCCCTTCGTAATGGATTTAACTGCAGTTGAGATAATGGACAAGTTGGAGGAGTCGCTTAAATGATTTAATTGATATATAATTAAGCAGAGTGAATTTTTCTAAGATATAATCGATTTAATTGTATACAGAAGGGTGGTCCGGATTAATCTTAATGATTTACTTAATTAAAAATTAATTATAAAACAAACAATATTTTAAAACAAACAATATTTTAAAACAAAACATTTCATATTTTATAACACTTTATAGAGAACTGAATAGCATCGATATATTTCATATAAATAACGCTATCTTACTCTGGTCACCTGAAATTCTCGTTATCAATATTATATAATTTTCCCGAGATTTTAAACATATAACCCCTAAAAATTTTATCTGGTTTGGTCTAAAATACTTAATAAGCAATATTTACACCAAAAACTTATTGATTGTTAATATTTAATGTCATTAATTGAGACATTTTGATAAAATATTTAAGTTTTAATTGTTTTAAAGTTTTAAGTTTTTTATTGTAGAAATAACTGCTAGCATATAAGGCCCATAGACTGGAAAATAATTTAAGGTGGTCGTCTACTAAAATCTGAATAATTCTGTTATAGGCATTGTTATTATTTTAGTTATCTATTGGATATTAAACAGTCTTTTATTTGACACCCAAAACATAAGTTTTTTTCTTAAAATAAAAAAGTTATTACAATTTGAAATCGTTAAGATTAATCCGGGACATGTTTTGTAGTTATTCATACGATAATAATAAAATAATTAGTAAAAAGATTTTATTTGAATATGATGTGCACTTAATGAAATATTATTATGCCCCAAGCTTATGCAGTATAGTAAATATTAATATTATATCACTGCACCTATTTTCATCAAGATCTTCACCATTCTCGCTAAACGGGTTATGTTATGACATAACAGTTGTTTTTCAATTCTTCTAATATTCAATAAATCTGTTAATTATTTTAAGATTTTTTAACAGCAATTCAAATCTCATTAATATGTTTAAAAACTGTTGGCATTCAAACAATTACATGCATTGCACTTAATGTCGACTTCGTTTCAATTGATTTTTATTAACTAAATACAAAAACTAGTTCAGATAAATTTAACGTTCAAATATTTCAGATTAATATTGTTCTCGCATAACAATTAATCATCTTTATTTGCTACAGTACTTAATTACCGGTATACATTTTCTATACAGTTTATAATATACTTTATAAACTTTATAAACTTTATATGTTGCAAACAATTTATAACCGTCATAAAACATATTTAAAATAAAAGATATAATATAACATTTTACTAAAATATCAAACAATTCAATTCAATATTCAATTCAATATTCAATTCAATATAGATGGCAACCAGTGCTCCATAAGTGCCATAAATATGTGAATTTAATTATTGGTGGCAAAAAATATGTACATAATGTTAGTATTATCACAATACTATTACAGTACAGTACTGCACCGTGTAAAGTCATTTGCTCAAGGTTTTAGTTGAAATACATTTTAAAACTAATTTTATTTGCATTAAAGCATACCATTATACCTATTGTATTGAATCATTAATTATTAGCAGGGTACACATTAGTTGATTTTCATGTAAAAAAACATTAACTTTAAATATTTAGGGACTGTCTTAATTGCCATACCCGCCATATCCGCCATACCCGCCATATCCGCCATACCTGCCATACCCGCCATACCCACATTATATCAATATTTGACCCGCCATACCCACATTATATCAATATTTGACCCGCCATACCCACATTATATCAATATTTGACCCGCCATACCCACATTATACCAATATCATGGTAAATTTATATGGGATATAGTATATTTTAAAAACCGATATATTGGGGCTATAAAACCATGAATATAGATCAAGGGTAGGATTATCCATTCAAGAAATAATCCATTTCCCGCACGGTAAATAGTTAGCTCGAGAGGTGTATAATACCTTTATAATGGTTCTATATTTTTTCTTAAATTTACTGTATTTAGATATAAATAGATTATATAATTTTTGTATAAATTTATTAAAAATATACATTAAACTAATGTTTATGATATAATAAAATTTGAAATATAATATTTCACTAATAGTTATAATATACCTTATATTGTAATAATAAATGGCTATCATTAATGAATTAATAATAATTTATTCTATATATTTTAATAAATATATAATATAATGTTTGAAACATAATATTATTAATAAATATAGTTTTGATATTATTTTAAATTAATGATTATCAGAGAAATGGATTGAAAATATAAATATTTAATGAATTATAAAGAACTATTATAATCAGTAATTATATTTTTATTAGTGCAATGTAAATAATATTTATATAACTTTATTTGCAAGTTTGATTTTATATAATTTAAATTTATACAAAAATTATATAATCTATTTATATCTAAATACAGTAAATTTAAGAAAAAATATAGAACCATTATAAAGGTATTATACACCTCTCGAGCTAACTATTTACCGTGCGGGAAATGGATTGAAAATATAAATATTTAATGAATTATAAAGAACTATTATAATCAGTAATTATATTTTTATTAGTGCAATGTAAATAATATTTATATAACTTTATTTGCAAGTTTGATTTTATATAATATAATGTAATTTAAATTAAAAATATATATACCTAAATTATTAATACCGAAACTTTAATATATAACACGTAATATCAATCGAACGTGATTTTGGGGGCAAATATTGGTATAATGTGGGTATGGCGGGTCAAATATTGATATAATGTGGGTATGGCGGGTCAAATATTGATATAATTTGGGTATGGCGGGTCAAATATTGATATAATGTGGGTATGGCGGGTCAAATATTGATATAATGTGGGTATGGCGGGTCAAATATTGATATAATGGGGGTATGGCGGGTCAAATATTG